CATTGAAAAATAAAGGTTTCATATAATTCATTATTTTGACGAGCGTCTGATTTCACCATGATGCCACAGATGGTATATGTTTCACCGTGAGTATAAAATGTATAAGTCAGTGTGCCCTCATAACTCAACGCCTCACCCCCGCTCTGTCTTAGTTGAAGTTTAAAGTGGAAGTTACACTTGGCTTTTGCTGATTCCGTAGTTTTTGTTGCTGACGCCGGTTTTATTTCTTCTCAATTCTGTCCACGTCTCGTGATGTTTTTCATATTGTTCATCAACGATGATGATGATGATGATGATGATGGGGATGATGATAGGGATTATGGTAATGTTGATTGCGATGAAAAAGCGAAATGCTGACTCATTCTACAAGTGGCATTTTGTATTAAATTGTAAAGTACCCAAGTTTAATATTTTACTCTATTCTTCCAGATGATGATGATGATGATGATGATGATGATGATGATGATGATGATGATGATGATGATGATGATGATAATGATGATGATGATGATGATGATGATGATGAAGATGATGATGGTGGTGATGGTGAATAATGCAAAAATATCTAAACATATCTATCTCTTGAAACGTGCGAGTGTAGGTTCCATCGCAACGTCTCTCGTCCCTACTTTCAAGTCATACCAAAGACCCGTAAACTTGCAATTTCCAGAGCACTAGCCAACAGCAACAACAACAACCAGCAACAACAACAACAACAACAACAACAACAACAACAACAACAACAACAACAACAATATCAACAATACCAACCAAAGCAAAACCAACCAGTTAACAATTAAAAGCCATGCATCTGAGCGCCGCCGCCCAAGCCCTTCTGTAATATATGCATGCTTTATGTGATATGAATCGTGGTCCTAAAAACTGAATAAAATAACTACTTACCCGCCACGTAAAAACCATGCCTCTAATACCAATTGAAAGTAACAATTCATATCAATGATATAAGAACCCCCTACTCCCTAAAAAAAACAACCTCACCCCCCCAAACAAAAAAAACAAATGTATGCAACAACCCCCCCCCCCCAAACAACAGCAAAGCAAATAAAACAAATCAAACAAATAAAATACAATTTAAAAAAAGTAACAACAGCTAAAAAAAGCCAACAACAATACCCCAGACAAACTGAAAGTAACTCTACAATCAAACAAAAACCCAACAATAGACAAAAACAACAGCAGAATAAAAACAAAAGTAGGCCCACAAAACAAAAAGAAACAATACAAGAAAAAACAACCCCCCCCCCCAAAAAAAAAAAAAAAAAAAAAAAAGACACACCCTCATTTCCAACACAGCCAACCGTGCAGCCACAAATGATGTTGATCACATGACGGATCTGCTGTTATAATCCAAGACTCGTCGTGTGCTTGAAATGCGGCAGAATGGGCCTTTGAGTCGCAGGACGAATCAGCCATGAACTACGCAGTGTAGCCTGCCAGAATGGGAATGTGGGAAGTTTTGGGGTGGGGTGGGGTGGAAAGGGGGGAGTGGACTGGTAGGGAGGGCGCATCTATTGGTTCTAGTCTCTATATAGTTTTAGTAAGAGTTTTACGGCACTTACAACTCTCTAAGGTCTGGATCGATAACAATAATAACAACAATATCTCTCTAAGGTCAAATAAGTGCCGGAGAATAGGTGTGTTACAAGAGAGTAACATCATCATCATCATCATCCGGTGCCTTGCCGACTGGCGTGGGCGATCATGGACCTCCACTTCACTCTGTCTTGCGCTGCAGCAATGGTGTCTGTTGTTCTTGCTGCTCCTAGTCATGTTGTCATCTTGTCCAGTACTGTATCTTTTCCCTCTGTCTGCCTCCGCCTCTCTTTCCATCAAACGTGCCTGTTGTTACAATATTCTCTAATGCTTCTTTCCACTTTGTGAGTCCGAAGAAATTTGCCTGTCGCTTTGTTATATTCGTAATAAGTTGTCTTCTATAATTTGCTTCAACCAAGACTTCTTCAATTGTTTTTCTAGCTCTCCATGGGATACGTAGCATGCGTCTTATGAACCACAACTCTGTCGCCACAATTGTTCTTTCCAGCTGTTTATTGATTGGTCACGCTTCGCACCCAGTATAATAGGATTGGCTCAATGTAACTTTTCAGTCCTCTTTTTCTCGTTTCCTGTGACAGATTGATGTTTGTTAGTATCTGTTTCATCTTGTGGAAAGTTGCTTTTGCTTGGCAAATGCGGCTTTTAATTTCGGTGTGACATCTACCATCTGATGATATAATGGTCCTCAAATATTTAAAATGTTGTACTTGCTTGAGGGTGGTATCATTAATTTTGATATTGCATGTTGGGGTTGGAGTTTTTCTGCTTATCACCATTGTTTCGGTTTTCTTGATGTTTAGGCTTAAGCCCATGTTGTCACTCTCTTGTACGATGACATTTAATAGATTCTGCAGGTGTTCTTCATCTTCTGCTATTAGGACTGTGTCATCTGCATATCTTAGATTGTTTATACTATGTCCCCCTATCGAGATACCAGGCATTTCTTCTATGTGTCTCATGATATTTTCACTATACAAGGAGAACAAGTCTGGAGAGAGTACACATCCTTGTCTGGCTCCTCTTTTTATCTGTATGTATTCGCTGATGTCGTTTTCTATTCTCATTGCTGCGGTTTGATCTCAGTACATGTTCTTGATAATCCTTAAGTTTCTCTGAAGGTGATTAGCCACGTAAGAAATGTACAGCTCAGATGTTAGCTGAGAGGTGGTGGTTTGGGTTAGTCTTTGAGTTGGGGGAAGAGGAAAACGAACTGTCTGTCTGTCTGTCTGTCTGTCTGTCTGTCTGTCTGTCTGTCTGTCTGTCTG